ACTGTAGCAACAGAAATGGTGGAACTTCAGTGTCTTATTCAGGTAGCATGGCACCTTAAACTTCTTCCTACTCTGTCCAACGCAAGTCAGCCGTGTTGCCAAGTCCGCCTGCAGGAACAAGCAGCATCTTGGGGGCCCTCAGTTACTCTATGTGCACAGGAAAAGGGGACTTGCCACAGAAGCAGTCATTCCTGTTATAGCTAGAGTAAGAGTAATCTGCACTTACTGCATCCTATAGCTACAGTCATTGTAACAATCCATAAATTCACAAAGACTTATCAACTGCTTACTGAGGCTTCAAGAAGCCCAATCTGGAAACCTTGAACAAGTGCTGACTTGAATACGTATCTGGTACAAATCAACACCATAAGCAGAGTAATTAAATAAAACCTACCAGAATAGTTTTCCAGCTTGAGCTTCACCTCCTCTTATATAAGGAGTTATTTCTTTGGTGAAATTCCATTCTTCCTCCAACAGATTTTTTAAACTATGAGACGCTTGAGGTAACTGCTGTAGCATTTGGATCCAGCTTCGCATATAATCAAAGTAAACCTGTACATGGAAAGAGACAATTTAAACAGAAATTTTTACACAACGTGTAACTAAGGATTACAGCTTCTCAAATCAATAAAGAAATCTCAATATATTACGATTTGCAGAAAATATTTCTACAACATTTTTCGTTTGCTATGATTGAAAATGAGCTACGTGTTTCCACACAAAAGGTGCAATCATGGCTCGGGAAGTAGAAAGTGCTACTGAAGTATTAAATACTATGTCTCCACGATACTTTTCTGAAAATATTGACAGTATCACCACCTTGCTTGCTGTCCTGCTATTCACCATTTTATCAGTGAATACCCACAGTGGCCACAGTTTTTAAAGCTGAACTACTGAAAAACAGTTTCTAAATCTTTTATTAACTGGGTTACTCCAAAAGGTTTTATCTGAACATATCCTCCTGGATATGGATAAGTGCAGTGAACAGGCTTCTCAGATTCTACATTACCTGTGTTCTTTTACATCAAGTCTTATCTCTCACCTTTATTTAATTATTAATGTTTTAAACCAACACAAAAATCCAGGTAAGTACAATTCTTCTTCAAACATCTGCCCTTCAAGATCATACTGAATGCAAAAAATCAGCTGCAATTTGTTTTGGTTCAGTAATCCATAACATCAAGTAATGTCCCTCTTTAGAAATGGTTAAGACACTTCCTGTTGGTTTCAGGCATTTTTGGACCACACCAAGATCATAGAATCATAGAATTGTTTGGGCTGGAAGGGACCTTAAAGATCATCTCCTTCCAACCGTTCTACCATGGGCAGGGACACCTTCCACTAGACCAGGTTGCTCAAAGCCTTAGGAAGGCTGCTATAAGGTCTCCCCAGAGCCTTTTCTTCTCTAGGCTGAACAACCCCCACTCTCTCAGCCTGCCCTCATAGGGGAGATGCGCCAGCCCTCTGATCATCTTCGTGGCCCTCCTCTGGACTCACTGGGTTAGGCGAGTACTGTGTTCTGATAGTCTCAGGCTGTAGCCCCATTCTTGACTTTATTTAATTCACCTTTCACTCTCAGCCTAATTGCTCTTCCAGTATTCTTCTCAGCTACCTTGCCTGCCTATACAAGGAGTCCACAGGAAAAGACAAAGAATAAGTTCTACCTCCCACCCCTCATTAATCCTGTCTTAACCTTCTGATTTTGTACAAGTTTTCCCTATCCCTATTTTCAGCCCAGATCATCTCTTCAGCTCTTTGCCCAGCTGTCCCAATCTTCTGACAATCTTGACCATTCATCCAATCTTTCTCCCCTGCTTCTGGCACTACAATAACCTGCAACTCTGAATAGGCACAAACTGTGATTCTTTGAAGTCTGATCTATTTATTCCTATTTACACAGTCTTGTTACCATCCCTTTCAAGACCAAGAAAAAGCAAAATACTTATACAATTAAAACGGCTGCCAAAGTTCAAGCTCTTGCCTCAAAGCACAAAAGCATTACAGCTACCCAAAAAAACAGGTAAGGAATTTCAAAATGGACAAGATGAACCATTTTCCTTTCATCTAGCCAGGTCATTTCTGCTGGAAGTTTCTAGAAATTTCAGATGGAGATGAAGGCAGGCATGCAGCATAAGAAACTTCAGGTAAAACATTGGATTTTCACCACTGTAGGCAATGAAAAGCATGTAACAGGAAAATCCATGCATACTCAACAATAGATGGTAACAACAGCTCTGCTGACAAAACACTAGTAATGAGGTATTGAGGTGTATCTTGGTTTTTTTTTTTCCCCCAGAATATTGAGGACAAAGCTCAAAGAACTCACAAAAGAATAAAAATTAGTCACATCCAAGGGAACAGTAATTTAAACTAGATTTACCAAAGAATATTTCATTTAGTATCTTTCAGAGGCCAAGTGTTTGTCTTGAAAATACTTCGTGTTTAACTTACTGCAGTAACAAATACACATTAAAAATAATGTATCATTAATGGATGAATGCAATACCAAGATATTAAGACATGACGTTAGTCAAAACAATTGTATTTATTTTTTTATTCAATACTAAAAGGTTATTAAAAGTTTCCATTTATGAACCTTTTTATTGTAAATACAGGCAATGTACAAGTATACTGTGCCACAGTCCAGTAAACAAAAATCAGTATTGCTAAAATCATTGCTAAAATGACAATGGCTACTGTGTCACCTTTACCAGTCAATTAAAACAATAAAATTACATTAAAGTAGCACAACAACAAAACAATTAGCAAGATCTATACCCAACAGGGACAAGGACAGATTTCTATTAGCAATATTCAGATTAATACACTTACTAGAACTCCAAATATTTTTTCCTTTTTGAAGCTTACCATTAACATTTTATGCAGGTCCTCTTCAAAGGAATCAATGTTGCAATCAATCTTTTGTAAGTCATCTAACACCTCCCGTAACATAAACTGGTAATATTGCTTCATTAACAGGCCACCCTTCAGAACCTCTTTACACTCTCTCACCAGCTGCAAGAGAAAAACCCCAAAACTCCCATCAGTCAAGACATTACTCTTAAATTCTCCCTGGGAGGTGAAAGCTTAATTTGTCAGTACAGTTTGTCTAAATATGTTGGTTTATCACTACATAGTTTCTACAGTTTTTAGAAATGCATACAGTCGCTCTACATGTCTGCAGGAAAGATGTGACTAATTTTCCAGGATTATTTAATTGCCATCATGCCATTTGCCACATAACTGTAAATGGAGATGGAGGCCAGTGTTTCGGACTTCATTCCCTGCACTGGGCCACGGCAAGCAACTTACTGGACAGTTAAAAAGTTTAGAAGTGGGCAAGAGGGCTCACAATCATCAAATCACCAGTTTAAATGGAAGCAAGTCAGGAATAATACGCTGTGTTTGACAGATGCTTAGAGATCTATGAGAAATGTTTTACTAGAGGAAATTCATTGTCAACCTATTGGGCAGGTGTCCACAACTCTAAAACCCATACCAGACCCAAAACCAGTTGGTGTTTCTTTTGTGTTTCCCTCAGCACAGCTAACATGAGGAAAGTTATCTTTTCAACCGTAGAAGTGGTCACTTTTGGCCAAACAGTTGTCACCCCTCCCTGAAAGCTTACAGCTTTTATTTATTTGAAGAAACGTGCACAACCACAGACATACAAGTACACAAACAGCAAGAACAGTTTCAAACCCACACTAACAAATGCCTTTCTTTCAGAAGCCCTTCCAGCACTAAGCATGTATTCTTCTGAAATTATTACCAGTCTCCAGGTCTGACAACCCCAACCTTTTCTGAGCAACAACTTCATTAAATCAAGAGTCTAAAAGGAAGAGAGGGGTTCACTTGGAAGGTCAGAGGGAATGGAATTGTTGGTTGGTTAACCTGCTTTTCAAAATCTTGTATAATGGCTATCCTGGCAAAATAATTTATCAATATAGTGGACTCAATGCATGAGAAATTATAATGGCATGAAAGCAAAAAACATACAATAATGTCATTAATATTACAAGAATCTTTGGAATCTTTTATAGGCCGGAACACATCACACTGTGCTCCCCTGCGTGCAGGGGAAACAAGCATAATATTCTGAACTCTGTAGTTTAAAACTTACCAATAGTTAGGTGAAAAAGGAAAAAAAATAGTAATTTTTTATAAGTTGGTAATCCAATAATTACACATTTATATCCCTAACATCATATATTTAAAAATGAATGTAGATTCTTCACTCTCCACTCAACCACATCCAGCGTACTCTGTGTTTAGTTATTGGGGTTTGGCCTTCGGATCCAGAAAGAAAAACGTAACTTGTTCAAAGAATTTAAAATTTGTATTTAACTACCCATTATTCACAGAGACAGATGGGACTTGGCAATATCACTTATCCATAAAACTTTACTATATAGTATGGCATATCTTACAGATACAAGCAAAGTTCACTTCTAAAACTTGCAAAGAGTAACTTTTGTCTTTTCCAAAATAAAATACTCTCAAAACTTCATTAAAAATAGAGATTTTTTGTTTAAATAATACTGCTATACAGTGATGTGTAGCGCTATTGTATAACAGAATACAGGATTTACAAAAAACCCTGTAGTGCTAATTTTAAGTGTCAACTTTTGGAACTGAAAGTCGTAAGGCAATAGACAAACAAAAAAATATGGTCTATAACGAGCACACCATGTGTGTATGTATATAACTATACCCGATACACAAAACCTGATTAAGGAGAACACAGTAACTAGTCAGTACATCGTGGCCCTGCTCCAAGTGGTGTCAGTCACTTATCAGAAACCAGGTAGGTGTGACTTTTCACTTTTCAACTACCTTAGAGTTAATGCATGCCACATGACAACAATAGACCATAAGCAGTCTGCACAAAATGTTGATGGCTGACGTAAGGACTGTTGACCCAAAAATTCCAGGAGGTACCACAAGCTGTTAAAATAATCTAGTCGGAGTGCTGATGGTTTGATACGGTTTTCTGCATCCAAACACACATCCTTTAGCTGGCTGCTTCTTTAGTCATTAAAACACATTCGAATACTACCTGGTTAACAGGTGAGTGGATAACAAAATTGGTAATTAAGAAATCAGTACCTGCATCAACATACCATATGCTACTGTGCTTCTAGTTAAAGACTTAAATGGGTGTTGATGAAGAAGAAATTACTTGTAAGTTGCATTTCTCTATTACAGTATCCTATAGTCTGGAACTAAATATCTTCTAGCAGTATTGACCTAATTTCTCCACTGATTTTTGTAAGGAAGAAGCTTTTATGAAATGACAGTATCATCTACTACCTTTTTGAAGATACAAACTGGTATGAAAGATCCAGAGAGATCTGATAAGAAGATCACGTTGCTGTAAGACACTCAACACAGGTTATAACAGACAAACAGTGTCTATTTAACCACCTAACAGAAATAACCCATGTGCACGTGCACATACACACACACTCCCCTCTCCACTTCTCAGCACAAATGTGGAACTTGAGAACCATCTTGAACTGTTCAGGAACTACACTGTCCCCACATAATGGCAAATTGCCATTAAAAGAGAACAGCTCTCTCCGATAACACAGGATCATCAGGATCACAAAAGCTATTGCTAAAAGTGAAACATGGGCGAGAGGGCTCAAAAAGGAGAAGCTAGTGAAAAAGGATGGGAGAAAAAGCACACTGTAGGAAGCATATAATCTGTGCTGGTTTTCTTTTTGTGTGTACGCTTTTTCTTGTAAACCAGATTTTTTTTTTTTTGATAGAATTGACTTGCTAGTAATCAAAAAATTTAACCTCACCTTGGAAAAGCTGAGTATCAGGACTAGCATGCCTGATACATTCAAACAGTACTGCTACACATTTCAAATGGTACCAAAAAGTAGGAGACACTTAAAGGTCTCAGTGCCCCAAATGACACCCATTAGGTCAATCACTATAGAAACCAAACTGTGCTGTGCTACATGCATATGAAGAACAATTCAAGGGATTGGGTTTGTTCAACCTAGAGAAGAGAATATGCAAGGGGTATCTAATCACAGTTTTCCAATGCCTAGAGGGTAGTTACAGAGAAAATGGGGGCACTCCTTTCACAAGGATGCACGGTGACCCGACAAGAGGCAACAGGCACAAGTTCCTTCAGGGAAATTCTGTCTGGATACTGCATATAAGAAAAAAAATGCTTTACTGGGAATAAAAATAAACGCTGGAACAGATTGGCTGGAGAAGCAGCGGAATCTCTCTCACTGAAAGTATTAATGATCTGGCCTAAGAAGGCACTCAATAACCTAATACAGGGCCAAGCTTCCAGAAGGTTGGACCAGAGTATCTCCAACCCAGACTTCTCTGTAATTCTGTAATATTCTGTGAATTTGCAGAACAAAACAGACCCCTAGACTCTGTTTTGAGCCTGCTCAAGATTTTAGGAATTGTAATTTTTCAGGAAAAAAATAGATCTATTTGTGAAATATCCTCCACAGCTCCTTTGCCTGTTCAGAAATACTGCGTGGGACAGCAAGCATTTGCTGAGTTGAATTCATTTTTTCAATGTAATTAGCAAGACAGTATACATCATCAAAACAGTCTGTAACAAACACATTGTTTTCCAGGAAGAAACTGTCATTTTTACTTAACTCAAAGTCCACAAGGAGAATACAAAATGTAAGGGAAAAAAAATAGCCCCAGTCTCTGGGGAAAAAAGGATATATACAAAATGTAAGGGAAAAAAAATAGCCCCAGTCTCTGGGAAAAAAGGATATATTGTGCTTTACAATACAGTACGCTATACTATATTCTACTATTAACTATGACTTTTAAGATTGAAATTGTAGGTACTGCGCTTCTGGATATAAGGGCATCTAAAATCCTAGTATACCAAGGAAAGAAAAAGGCAGGGAGTAAAGGAAAGGGGGTGGGCAAGAGAGAGGACTGAAATTTATTTGGAACCATAATGTAACTTAGCAATTGATTTTGGAGCAGCAGATAACTGGGATGTGAAATCATAATCAGCCGAAGAACTTACTTAAATGTTTACCCTTAAAGACCACCTGATAAAACCCTGATCTGGTTATGCTTGCTGGGGAGCAGGGAGATGACTTCAGACAATTTTAGTATGTCCTGGACTAGACTTTGAAAAATGGCATTGATCTAAACAGCCTTCATTGCATCAGATAACCACCAGAAAAAGAAATCCTCATACAACATTCTCAACCAGTGACAGGACTAACAATCTTGGGTCACTACCCACAGAAGATATCAGATATTTATATAAAACAAAATGCTGGGAAAGAAGATTCTTTTTTTTAATTTTGCTTTTCTTCTTAATCAACTTCTACTATGTGTCCACCGCATGTTGGCAGAGGTCTCACATTTGCAAAGAAAAAAGGATCAAATCAAAGAAAAAAAGACCCTTAAAACTGGTTACGCTGCCTAAGAAACCCAAATGGAGGAAGATGTGCTGGACAAGGTTATATGGCTTATAATGCAAATGGAACAAATACTGTCTACCTTCGCTGGCTGATAATTCTTTAATCACCAGTTTTGATTCCTGGAAGTCTAAATCAGAGAGGTATACACGACCAGTTGTTTACTATGCAAAAACCAGATCTCCATACGAAACACAAGGCTATTTATAAAATTTATTACATTGACATTTCTTAAACTAATCCTCTTTAAACCGACAACCTTATAATGAAATGACAAAGTCATTTCAAACAGAAAATATAAAAAAGAATCAGCTGAAGCAAACCTGTTTAATACTCAAAAGAGATGGTTCCCCAGCAGGTCTTTGTTCCAACCTTAGCTTGAGACATTCATGGATAACATTGAGCAGGACTCGGCAGAGGACCAAGAATGCAGGTTCAAAAGATGGTAAATCCATGGATTTCAGCTCCTCCCATGACACAGTGCTGCATTTTTGCTCACAACAAGGTGGGGAATTTAATAGCTGCACGTAATCTGAACACAACATGGGATCTGGAAATTCTGAAAACTGTAACAAGAAATAAGTATCATGAAAAGGATCCTTAAATTCTTTAAGATTTAGCATTTGTTTAAAGTAGCATGCACAAAAGTCTATTTTTAAAAGGTATGATTCTATTAACTGGCAAACCAACCACAGAAGTTTAAATTTCTCTCTTTTTTTTTTTTTTTGTTTAAGCTAACTTTTTTTTTTTTGAGGATCATCAGGCTGAGGGAAGCAACTATGGACCCTTGGGAGTGAACAAAATAATCTCTTACTTTACGTTTCTGTTTTAAAATAATTAAAGCATCCATTAAAGCTGTAGGATCATCTCACTCCACAGGAAGAAACTGCTGTTTGAGGTTATGATGAACATACAAGTTAAGCCTAACATAATATACAGGAACATACATTCATTTTGAGAATTTCAAAATATATTAAAAAAATAAATAAATCAAAAGGTCTTACGCTAATGACTCTATCTAGAGAAACAAGTCTGCACTTGGCTACATCAGGCGAATATCCTCGTTCCTTTTCAAATACATAGTGCATATATTCTATGAAACTCCATATTGTTAAGTAATGTAATGTTCAAGAAAGTGTCACTAGCTAAATTGAACAAAACTATTGAAAAAATAACTTATGAACTTTGATAGATGTTAAAAAATTGAAACTGAAACTTAAAAAGGAAGATAAAATATAAAGAGATCAAGCTGTTTTTTTCAATTAATACACTTATTTTTTATTTAAACAAAAATTACATTTAAATCAAATGACATTTCTGATTAGAGAAAATAATTGAAACTATCTAAAATAGACATCCTAGATATCTAAACTATATACCTTGTGATAACATTCTAGGCAAAGCTGTACATGGAGGCACTCTGGGGTTTAATTTAGGAAGAAAATTTGGACTGCAACATGTGTGCAGCCCTTAAAGATAACAACACACTGTACATCATCTAAGGATAAGATTTGTTTCAAATTAAGTTTGTTTTATTCTAATTCTCATTTCAAAGCTGCTAACGATGACACCTGAATATCCTTCATTCATATATTAGACATAACTAGCATTTTTTTCGCTTTTTCTTCAGTGCCAAATCTAAATAACATCACTTCAAAGGAGGAGAAAACATTACCAGAAACTAGAAGAAATGATTAAGTGGTGCCTAGAAAGTTAAAAAATATTTAAGCCACTTTTAAGCTTATTATCTAGCAGGGGAAGGAAAAAAAAAAAAAAAAGGAATTGTTTATTCCTTTACACCTACACACATTTTTGACATTTGTGCCTACAGTGTTGTACAACCTCTGCTTTCTCAGAAGAGCCACACAAAATTACAGCTACTGACAAAGTCAGTTTTCTTAATGTTTTTATTTTTCAGTATTGTGATGTTTCTAAACTGTCATGGGGGGTGGAATAGTGTATTCATTACCGTCTAACGTTGGCACAAAACGTATTATGCACTGCAGATTCTTAAGTGGTTTATAAAACCACTAGCTCATTATGCAGGGATAGCAAACATGCATGCATGGGGATTTCCTCTATACCTTGTTTAGTGGAAGTTTAATCACTAGCTGATCTACAGTATAAGAACTTATATTCTTAGATGGTATATTAATGTCTTCTTTATACTAACTCTCTTTTAAAGAAACACATAGCACCAGAATAGCATCAGAGCTAAAGGCTTTTATACAAGAAGTTTTCATTAATAACAGATCATGAAAATACTACACTTCTACAGTAGAACAAAATATTTAAGAAATTCCTCTTTGTGATGCAAGTATAGTGTTGGAAAATTTAGTTCTTATAAAAATCTTAAAGAACTAGTCTATGAGCAAAAATAACAAAATTGAGTAAATGTGTTATTTCATTTTCTAACATTAAGGCTAAGAGCACATGACATTAGGGCTTAGTATTAGACACCTAAACTTCTATTGTTCAATTTGACTAATCTTACTCTTCAGCAGGCCCAATCTGAAATGTTTCAACTGACTACCAAATACTTCTTAAAAAAAGCCCAAGAAAACAAAGTCCAAGCCATTTATTGAGATCATAAATAAAATCCGTATTCAGAAGTGCAGCCAGTTGAATAAACAAACAGGGTACACAGGCTTAAATACTGTTCTACTAAAATAACATCTCTGATTTTGTAAACTAAAATAAGAAACATTAGCCATTTACTTTAAGAATCAAATCATACAACTTCTACACAAAACAGACTATAGTGCCTAGAGTCTTGTTAAAGTATCACAGCCTATGACAAATTAAACTTGTACTTTAAAAAACACTAAAAACAGCTATCTGTATAAACATTTACATATATTTAAGACGAAATGAGCATTAAAATGCATACAGTGGAAGAATCCAGAAAGCACATTTTAGATGAAAGACAGTGTTTAAGTAACAATAGAAATGAAAGTATGTCCAGAGATTTTAAAGTGTACGTACACACATAAACACAGAGTCAAGATATTAAAAAAACAGAAGTAACAAAGATTAACAAAACACTAACAGCTCTGCCTTCATACAAATATCAAACTGAACTGCACTAAAAAAACCCAAGACACTACATTCAAAGTACTGTCAGATGCAAAGACCAAGCAATTCAAAACCATCTCTTCTATTTCAGTCTGATGTCATCTTTTGCTGCAGTAGGTACCGCACTTCTGACAAAACAGTATTTTCTGGTATTGACAGCATTCTTTTAACTTTGGGGCAGGAAAGAAGTTTACAATTTCATAACATTCATCTTTAGTCATAAAGTCATTTCTTAAAAGAGGACAACATTCCAAAGAAAATGTAATAATTACTGAAAGTGAACATTCAAAGAAGTCGCAAGGGTAGAGAAGGAGGGAGAAAAGATTAACCTTACATCTTACACAAGTCATCCAACGCTAAATTACCAAAAAGTTTAATTCTGTGAAGCTGCAGCAAAGACTCTAGCTACTAGTATTTCATTAACTTGTTTTAAGAACTCTTACGAAGTCAAAACATTTGAGGTATTTTGCAATTTCAAAAATACATTCAAAGTAGTTTTCAATACCCCCAAATTATGTTTTATTTCCTCTGTTTTTTTAAAAGGTATTTCTACCTATATATATCGCTGAACTTTCTAGTTAAGTACATATGGTTTGCGGGTACTTCTGGTTACTGTAACAGATACCTGCAAGTTTTGCTTAAGCACGTGACTCTTTAGAAATACACAAAGATTTCCTTAATGCAAAACTTCCTAGAACACAAGCTGAAACCAATTAGAGAATAAATAAAAATTCAACTAATAGCTTCATTTTTTACAGTAATATCTACATTAGCAACACTATGAATAAAAGCTTTTTCAAAATCAAATAACTTTATAAATATTAATTTATTCATCCTAAAAAAATAACCCCCAAGGGAGATAAACAATTCTTGTTCCTTTTGCAAACATGACAGTCAACATCAAGAAATCAGCAACATATCAAAGACCACACGGGGTATCCATTTCAGAACAGGCATGCTGGCTAAGAAATTCCTTCGTCCAGAATCCATGGTTAGGCCCCACACACAGTGCCACTTTATTGAGGAGGGCAAGTAATCCTTACTACTAGTTCTTCCTAATTATAAAAATGCCTACAGGTTAGGTAACAGTTTATATTAAGAAACAATATTCTGCCTTGAAAGAATCAGTGACCACAACTTACCATATAAAACTTCAGCTACTGTACTTCGTTTACTGCTTATTTCATAATTTTGTTTTTATTAACTCACAATCATTCTTAATTAAGAATATAAAATGACCCAAAGAAAAAAAAAATTAAACTAAGAGCCAGCTGAAGAATGAAACATGCTAACATGACTTGCTTTCATAGATTTCAAGGTTAAGCATCCATTCGTTTATCCTATCTGGCCTCAAGCATAACGTGCCACACAGTACTTCATTCATTTAGATGAAGAAAAACCCAAAACAATAGTGACGTTTTCATAAAGGATGTCTTGCAGAGAGATATCCAGTCTTGAAGACAAGAAAAGGTAAATGACCACTTCCATAGCTAATTTTTCTTACGATTCAACTTTTGTGCCTAATTTTCCACTGTAATTTTTCTGACTCATGGCTTTAGACATTAGAAAATGTAATGAGCAAAGATGTTATCATAAAAATGTCATTTCAATTACAAACAAGAACAGAGAGCTAGCTTGTGCTTCACACAAATTCTAATTCAGGTCAAATGACAGATTCATTTCAGTAGAAGCAGAACGAGGCTCTTAATCATAACATATACTACCTTTCAAAAACCAACACAGCAACCAAAACTTTCATAACATCGCAATTCCTCCCGTTTCAGTTAGAAACAACACAGCAGGGGAGGTACTCCTGTTACCCAGTTACACGAGTAGCAACCTACCTCCAGCTGGTGGTCACTCCTTACCAACGCCATACGGGCCCTTTGCAATGAACCATGCATTAGCTTGTGCAGTCTTAAAATTAGCTTCCTCAACCCCATTTGCTTCAGTGCTTTATCTACAAACGGCCTGTAAATAGAGGTCAAACAATGTTGGCTGCAGCTTGCCTCAGCACTGCATTCTGGAATAACCCAAGAGGCGGAGTCATCCTCAGATTCAAGCCTATCAAGCCTCCTTGAAAAATGGTCCTGAAAGTCAAAATTTGGCTTATTAGTAAAATTGTTCTTGATGGCTTGCCTAAGTTCCTCAACATTCTCCTCAGAGATTTGTTCTTCACCATCACTCTCCTCTGTGCATGTGCCTGAGGATTCCTTTACTTCTGTTTCCCTATCAACATCTTCATCCCCTGGATCATTGTCCTTAGATGGTCGAGGAGAAGGAATTTCAAACACTGGCCAGCCAATGTCAGAAAGATTTTTGATGCCCAATACAGTTCCCATAATCCTTAGTTTTTGATTTAAGTCTTTTGTAATATTCAACCATAGACACAGTGCCTGCACCCTGTCTTGGAAGTCCTTTGCAGCATACTTTTCATAGTCCTTTTGAAGAGCCTGCAGAGATGGATAAAGTGCTTCTATATACTCTAGCAGCTCCATTATCCGCTTTACTTGCTCAAATGAGACCCGCTGGCGATGGAGGTGTTCATGGTAACTTGAGTAACCCAAAGCACTAGTTCCATGTGTTGCTTTGCAAACTCCTTCTCCTGAAGTACCATTGAGACTGGCTCCATTTTTTACACAGGAGAAGCTTCCATAGTTCACTTTGAAGGTGAGGATTTCATTGATGATATCAGGGATAGCTTGACGGGCTGCATAGAGATAGAGGTCTTGGTCATTAATGCTCCGGCCAGCATGCCAAGCTTGCAGCTCCAGCCAGATCAGTTCATTGGATCGGTTCAGCCAGACAGAAGAGGTGTTTTCCTGTCCTCTTTGCTCCCTGTCCTTTTTCTTTGAGACTGAGGTAAGTTTTAACAAAAGCCGCAAGGTTTCAAAGAATTTTAAGCGGTCTGCTGGGCAGTCAGTCCTAGAAGTCTGGCGTGCAGTTCTGGGTATTGGCATGGGCACAGAGACTGGAAGCTTAGCATTGCTACAGCCAAGGCTGAGGTAAGGCTTATTGAGATCAACATCTGGAATTGTTTTTTTTGGCAGAGATCCACCAACTGAGTCTAACATAAATGAGCACTGCACATTTTTCTTGTGATCTCGTTCTGTTGTCCTTAGGGTGTCTCGAATCTTTTTCCCTTGCTTATAGCTGTGCTCCTCCACATTCTCAATGGTTTTCCCATTGTCTTTATGCACAGACTGAGTTGGCATACTCATCTTTTCTGTAAGAAAAGAAAAAAAAAGAAAGAATGTGACTGCAGCAACAAGAAAAAGCATCATTCAATCCAGCTCCTGATCACATTTCTTAGGTTGAGCATAAAACATTGTTTAATACCAATAAAACAAAATAGGCAATTAAAGTAAAACGTAAACATAGTCTTGGAAATTACTATTAGTACAGCTAAATCAATAGTAGTACCAAAGGACATTTTTTTTCTCCTCTTGTTTTACCTCTTTTGTAGAAAGGACCTCAGAGAATTCTCATTATCCTGAGTATGCCAGCTACTGAGAACTGAGCATGATCAAAAGGAAAAGAGTCGTTTCCAAGTTCATTTTCCATACATTTGTCACACAACCTCCCAAACAAAAAACTCAAAATGCAACAGAGCATTATTAAGGTTTCCAAGTCAAACAGAATTAAAGAGACTCCATTGCACATGCAATTTCGTAAAAACTGGAGCATGCATGGATTTAGCTTGAATGATCCAATCCTGGCTCCTGGGGGGCTTGATCTTAGTTCTGAGAACCCCTCTGTAGTCTTAATATACTGCCTTAATAGCAGGAGCCTACTTCCCCACTCGCCCAACACACAAACACTTGTCTTCTCCCTTACCACATAACAGCAGCCCTTTCCTGCCTAATTGTGCAATCTCCTCTTCTCTTCCTGTTCTTTCCTCAGGAGCGGCAGACCTTATCACTCTTCTTGCAGCACTAACAAAAGCGCTTCAATCTAGGCTTTGCAGACCAGGACAGGAGGAACTACTTGGTATTAAAACAGTGGTTCTCTCTCTCTCTCAAGGAATTGGTGGCAGGCTGGAGAGAAGCACCTGTATGTAGACTAGCTGCAGTCCAGGGATCAGCAGTTGGAACACAACAAGCTACATGGTCACAGGGCCCCTGCTTATTCAAGAACAGAAAAGACTTTCAGAATGATGGCTGAATACTTTGTCTTCTTTTCACTGTTCACTGTGACTCTAAGGATTATCTGCTGCACATGGCTTATTCCCCACTCTAGAAGTAGTAATTTCTTTAGAGTCTTTGCTACTGTGCTCCTCACTATAACATTCATTAAAACCAGAAATACTAATAAGCCAATTTGCAAAACTGGTCTGCTCAGTAGAATAACATTATTCCCTTTCTATATATGGAAAATCATGACAGAGAAAGATCCATCAAGCCAGCATACTTTTGGGTGCCAAAACCGGGAAGAGCTATTGCTCAACATTTCAGAACATTGAGCACTTTGTGTTCAATGCTCCCTGACTTCAATTGCACCTTGAATTCTCAACGATTTGCAAACCACATCCCAGAATCTCTAGCTTGCTTCTAGGAAAACAAGAAACAGAATTTCATTTGTGCTATTTGCCTAGCATAACACAAATTTTCATGACAGAATGCTGTTATCATATGATGCACTTCATTGACTTAATTATCAGATGGCCCTTCATTCTTGTTTCATTCACTACGTATCTTCCAGCATCTGCAACAAAAGAAGGTACAGTCATACAGAAATCCGCTTCCTTCATCACAAAATTCCAAACAATCTCTACTCATGTAAGACAGCAGTCCTCTGGAAAAGAACTGGTGTGGTAACATAGCTCAAAGACTATCAAAAGAACGCACACAAAGGCATTGTATTAAGGTTGCAGGGATATCTGAAACAAAAGTGGAGAGGTATGTGGTCAGAGCACCTTCCTTTGCCTGTTTCCATTACGAACCCTGTTTTCAGCTCTTAATGAGCAATAAGCAAGTTAATAAGGGTGTGACCTGCCACACTGCCTCCTTCCAATCCCCGTATCTAAAAAATATGATTTAACTCTTGCCATACTTGTGTAGGATTGGGGCAGGTCACAATGTATACAATAGCACTTAACTCTGGGGAAAAAAAAAAAAGAAATTATATTCTGAAGGATATGAGGAAGAAAGAAGGATCACAAAGTCATCACAGAAACTGTTTCTTGCAAATATGGACTTTATTAATGGCTCTTATACTACTTTTACTTCAGGTATTCATACATCTTTCTCTGAATAGCTACCAAGTACAACAGCAAATGACATAAAAATCTAACTCAAACAGTTTTCCTCCTGGAAACGGAAACCTACCTGTGATTCTAAGAAATCTGCTATGGAATTCATTAGCATTGATCTTACATTTATCTACTCAAACACTACTGTCAGACAGCAGTACCTCACCCTCACTGGTTACTAACTCATGAAGTTAACCAGCACCAGACAGAACACAAGACTAAAGGTCCTGCTGAGCTTATCAGCTTGAATTCCATGCCACAGCTGGCACTGCCGCGAGGAGGCAACAGCCCAAAAAGCTAGGACAGGCAAGCAGCGGGAAGATGCATTCTGCACTGGCAGGAAAGAAGGAGGAAGATGAAGGAGGTTGGCAGAGATGAAACACACATACATACACACCACCCCCACCCCCACCCCGCCCCAGACTCTGAGGTAGATTAGAAATGGATCAACTTTTATCAGCACTTTGATGTTAAAGCGTTTGGTAACCTTGCAAAATAAATGTAAACCCTGGCACATTTAAAGATCACTTTCTGAACTTACACTCTAGCTACGAGGACGTCCTCTAAACCCCTTCAATTTGTATTTTTAACATGTTATTCTCCTCCAATATTAATCTTCAGATTCCACACCCCACCAAAACACATTGAAAGAAAGGTAAGTTAAAAATATGATTCATTATTAGACATCCAAAATGCCCTAATACTTGACTATTCATCATTCTTAACAAAGCCCACACACAATAATCTACAAACTGTTTCAAAATCCTCTCATTTTATCAAATAAACAGGCACCAATGATTCTAACATACCTGACAATTCTGCAATAAATGAGTATCAATGTTATAACTGTATGAGTTCCTACTACTAATTTTATTGCAATTTTGTAATATAGGCTTAAATTGATTTGTAAAACAAGTTCAGCGGTACTAACAAATTTTGAGTTACAATTACCTTTAGTGCTACATGGGACAGGTAGATTTCACAACTAAGCAACGATCCGTTGGCGAAAGGGGGCACATGGTAGAGCCTGAGATCTTAAACAGCTCATTTAAAAAAAAATTACAAAATAAACTTGAGGAACTTGATGGGGGTAAGAAAGTGAGGCGGACAGAGGTTCCCTTTCAAGTATGAAGATGCAGAAGTTTCATACTAAAAAGCAGACAGGGGCACTGTTTTTTTACATAGTCCAATAAGCTAATAACACTTCAATAAGTAAGCAAGCATCGCTGGACTGACATTCCATACCCTCTGAGTCAGAAAACACAGGCACGAGACACATGTATGTCTTAGGAGCAACTCTGAAATGAGTTTAGCTTAGAATCATAGAAACATAGAATCATAG